TTACTATTATTATTTATATAAAATTTTTTTTATTAATTTTAGTTTTCTTTGGGAGAGTTACAATGCAAGAATTGGGCGAGCTATTGTCTGTATTGTTAAAAAACTTAAATAAAAATTAATGTATGAAAATTAAATTTATAGTTTAATATATTGGTTTATATTTACATTTACGAATTTGATTTTAAACTATATTTTTATTTAATATAATATTATAGTTGTTGTTCAATCTAATACACAATAGAGAATATTATTAAAAAAAAATTTAAAAACAAATAATGATAAAAAAAAAAAAAAAAAAAAGTTTGCAAATTTTTCTATCACTTATTTTTAGATTTGTTAATTTGAACTTAATCTTGATTCTATATTGGTGTGAATGTGATTGTAAATATATTTGGATGGGGGGGGGGTATTGTGTTAAGTTATTATTACTTGTACAAATTATATTATTGTTAATTTTTAAAAATATAATATTTTTTAATAGTATCATTATTATAATAAACACAAAGTAACCACTATAAACACAGGGAATAGTTTTTATTAAGGAACTGAGTTATAACGAGCTTTACATAATTGAATGAACTGGTTGTGTGTTGTTGGTAACACAAACAAAAAAACACACATATTAACAAAATACATTAAAAACACACAACAAAAATTAATTTTTAATATGCAAAAAATGGATAATAAAAAAAAATAATTTATTGAATTTAACTATATATGTTTTCTATTAAAAATTTTTAAGTTGTTGGTGTCGCAATAAAAACTGATAAATAAAATTAATAAAAAAAAAAAAAAATTTGGGAGGTTTTTGTTTTTTTTTTTTTCGAAATTATTTTTTTTTGAACAGATCTGTTTTTACCCCGTTACCCCTCTTAGTGTTAATTTTCTTTTTTTTTTTTTTAATTTCAAAAATAATAAAAAATAATTAAATCCTGTGTTAAAATTTGATGTTAATGTTAATTATTGAGTGTTAATAAATAAATGTGTGTTTATTAAAATACCAACTTTACAAATATGATCATATATGTGTGAAAAATAAAAATAAAAATAATTCAAAATATAACTTTTTTTACATACACCACGAAGCATATATAAAATCAATTT